TTTTTTTTTCTTTTTTAATATAGAACTACACCTGTGTGTGTTTTTATCATTCAGCTCCGAGGGAATGTCGTATCTGCGGAGGCCTGGCTCTGTACGAGTGCAGAGACTGTTATGAGGACGGGGATATCACTGCCGGCAAGATTAAACAATTCTGTGAAAAGTGCAACACACAGGTAAACAATAGATGGCATTGTTGCAACGTCAGTTTGAGACTCGTCCACAAGGTGGCGCCAAATCCAAAGGAATCACAATCCTCTTAGACCGACGAGAGTTTCCCCTGCAGTTGAACACACTTAATTTTCTTTTTTTTAATTAAAAACATTATATAAAAAGGTCTTTATTTATATTTATAATATTGAATGTTATAATAAAAAAACATATTTGTTTTCCTTTTTTTTTTAACAAACTGCAGTGCCAAATTGTGGATTTTTATCTGCTCATACTGATTTAGGTACACCTTCACCCGAAGAGGAAAGCCCATCGACACAGCAAACTGTCYGTCCCCAAGGAGCTCCAGGATGGTACGGGACGTCAGGGCACTTTTCCCCGCCAGAGGATGGAGCTGTTTGCTGTGCTGTGCATCGAAACCAGTCACTACGTGGCCTTCGTCAAGTACGGCAGCGCCGATTCTGCCTGGCTCTTCTTTGACAGCATGGCTGACCGTGATGGTGGGTGTCTTTAAAACAAGACATTGTAAGAAAAGAAGACTTATTGTTTTAAAATAACTTTTAAAAATGCTATCATTTATAATTTTAGCTGTTAAATTTCCTTAAAATTCACTTTGTGGTTTGCAGCATTCAGTGTGTTTTCTCTAATTGTGCTGCTGGTGGTTTGGCAGGAGGGCAGAATGGTTTCAACATACCACAGGTGTCTCCCTGTCCGGAGGTGGAGGCCTACCTGAAAATGACCCCAGAGGAGCTGCACACCCTAGACCCCAAAAGCATCCAGGGGCAGGCGAGGCGTCTGCTCTGCGACGCTTATATGTGCATGTATCAGAGCCCAACCATGAGCCTGTACAAGTAAAATCCTCTTCCCCAGACCCAACTGCCTCGCCTCCTCAGCTCCTCTGCATCTCCATCTCCACTCCCTGAGGACAGCAGATTCCCCGAAAGACCAAAAAATTTCAAGTACGAACTAACAGAGGAGGTGCCGTCTGCCAGCAGGGGCGCTGTCCTGAGTATCCGTCTCCACCTCTCCTCAGTGCCGACCTTTTTTTTTAATTTTATTTTTTTCCCCCGTGGAGGTTAAAGAGATGGAAGAGAGTGGGAGAAGCCTATTTGCACTGTGTAATAAATAGTTCAAGTGTTGTGTTCTTCACGTAGTCCTATGTAGCTTTCCTGTGTCTCACAGCTGAGTGTCGGCGGTGGTTAATGAAGCGACGGCAGGCTTTATGAGGATTCACTCCCTGCTCAGGAAGGAGGAAGACGACGGCGGAACAGGAGGCCGCGTCGCGTCGCAGTGGCTGACAGAATATGTGCAGCGAAAACAAAACGAGCTCACGGGAGGGCCTTGATCACCTCATTTACCTTAAGCAAAGAGGAGTCGTGTTGTTCTTAATCACTGTAAGAGATGGGAGCTTCTCATGGCGCGCATTAAGAAAGCAACACGGAGCGGAAAAACCTCCTGTTTGTGCTGTTCAAAAATAACCCTGTAAACTCTCAGTGGCTTAGATTTCTCCACTTAACAACATCAACTATAAATATCAACCAGTTGTGGATTCAGGTTCTTCTCTTCGTCGACTGGTTAGAATATTTCCTCCTAAAGCTGTGTGAAAACATCTCTACAGTATATGTTTTGCAGAATAAGATGTAGCCGTTGTAAAAGTTTTTGCCACACACTCGCTCAGTCGACGCTGCTCTCCTCCGTCTCCCAAGTGGACCGATCAGAAAACATTATTATTTTTTTCTGTTTTTAAGCTCTCCTATTTGAAGACCCAGCGAGTGCTAATTTGTTGGTCAGGAGACATGGGAGTTTTGTTGCAGAATACAGATTTGCTGCTGTGCTGTAGCTGCGGGGAAACGCTCTGCATCGCTAATGCAGAGTAGGTGGCAGATAAATGCACGAGAGGAGACTTGTACAAAGGCTTCAGTTGTCGAGCTGCTCGCCACGCAGCTCCACGCCTTCATCGACTCAATGAGGTGAAAAACTGGACAAGTCAGGCTTTTTTTTCTTTTCTCGAGGTAAGACTTGTGCGATGTGGGGTGAAAAAAAAAGCGTTGTGTCGCTCATTGTGCTAATGAGTGTGTCTAAATTATGTTTTATGTTTACAAAGCCTTTTCCCCTGTCTGTCCTGGCAGGTCTGATTTTTATTTTTTTATTTTTTTTAAAAGGAGCAAGTCTTAACTCTCTCTGCCTTTTGTGAAAGTGTGACATGTTATATGTCCAAACTTGCACCTGATAACAAAACCATCATAATCGAACAACTATTTATTACACTGATCATAACAAAAACTCACCTGAAGTCAAAGAAAAAAAGAAAAACAAAACAGGAAACAGGGTTGACAATGTAAGATTTGGGTACTAGTCCGCTTTCACTGTATATTTAAGTGAGTTATTGTTCTTCATGTTGTCTTATACCAACTACTGATTGTTAATAGGGACACTTTGATAAGTTAACAAAAGACAGATAATGAAGAGGCACAACGGTGCATCAGATATGTGTATTTTAACAAGAGTTTTGATCCAAAATAAACTGATTATGTTTGATCCCATTATACTCCAGTTTCACAAAACAGAAGCCAACCAGTCTGGATCCAGACTGGTTTTTCCTTGGTTTTCTCATATCACAATGAATTGATTAAAAGCAACAAATACAGATGTTGGCATCAGCATTAGATATCTAATATAAGCATATTTAAATATTTTCCTAATCCTGCTCACAGTTTAATGACGGATTTCATTGTGAGGTAAAGATGTTTTTAAACGACTGATCCAGTTTGCTCTGTGGTCGTTCCCACTGTCGCAGGGATTCTGACAGAGGAACTTCCTGTGTGAACTTTTCGCTGCACTGTTGGAGCTCGTCACTGACCGGTTCCTTGTTCACTTTGACACAAGTCTCAGAAAAAAAAAGAGGATGGGATTGTGTTTTTGTTTGTTTTTTCCTGTTGCATCTGTACAGTGTAGACATATGTAACAGGTGATGATAAATTAATGTCTGTGATGTTTCCTGTAAATGTTAACAAAATAAAGCTCATTTTGACAGGTTCACTGCATGTGGTGAGTACTTCTAACAACTCTTGCGTCATTGTCAACATTTTGTTTTAAACGCAGTGCAGATGAGAAGCTGCTTTTAGTTTATGAAAAGGAATTTTTGTTTCTTAGATTTGTGTTTTGTTCACTGATGACTATATGTAGCTGTAGGTTGTAGTCATTACAAACAGTGCTTATATTTTAATAGGAAGGTTGTAAGTTTGATCCATATTCCCTACCCCTCGTCATGTACAATGGCGCCTGCGGAAATTTTTTTCAGKGGGGGCCATGAGGGGGCCACTGAAAAACCAGGGGCGACACACCAAAACTAACATCTATAACAGAAAATTTGTGATGTGTTTGCAAATATGACAAATTGAAAACTATGGCAATATAAAGCTATGGATTTGCCAACAGATGTTAAAATTTGTAATTTCACAGATAATATCACTGATTTTATGACATTCAGAGACAAAAAACAAGAGT